GGGCAAAAGTATAGGAATAGAGAAGATCTCACAAGATGAAAATTTTAATCAGGCCGAATTTCAATAAATTTTGAATTACTCAAAGATTAATATACAACTTAAAATTCATTAATTATTCCATATTTTTATGCATATTTAAATTGATAATGTTTAATTTTATTGAATCACATCTTGAGAGTTAAGGTCCTGTGCCTTGAGGCACAGTAATGGGAGCTATCCCCTTTGTTAAGGTTCACTCTAAATTCATTTTTATAATTCAAATAATTTATTTTACTCCCTCCGTCCCAAAATATTAGTCCCTTATTCTATTTTTCATTGTCCCAAAATATTAGTCCCTATTCAAAAACCAAGTACAAAAATAATATAAATTTCCTATTTTACCCTTCTTTTAAATTAATAAACAACATAAAAAGTACAATTATGCATTGATATTCCTAAAAAATGTACTATCAAAAGGATAATTTTGGAAAATCAACTTTTTTCAAATGCAATAATTGTACTACCAAAAAAAGTTGGATTCCCCAAAAGGGACCATTATTTTGGGACGGAGGGAGTATAAGATTCAATCAGATTAGTTAGATATCAATATAATCACATGATCAAATTAAATATATTTTTAAAATAATTAACCATCAAAATAATTTTAAAATATAAACCATCCACTTGTTAGACAAATATGAATCAATCATATCACTAACATTTACAATAACTCAAATAAAAAAGTAAAAGCAAAATTTAAAGTTAAATTTCTATTGGGCCAATTCAAAATGCACACTCAAGATTACTTTACCAGCACACTGTTATATAATCAGCCAGCCATGCTTTTTTGTTGGTCTTCTATCTGTGGGATTGGCATGTCATGGTAGTCCACAAAAACAGCCCCCACCCCCCCGCGCATGAGGTAAACATCCCCTTATATAGGAGATGTTGCCACTCTTCTCAACCAATAGGAAGCTACCAACCAAATCTCCTCCAAATCTCAATACATGAACATAGCTTGCAACTAGGCAAGTTGCACAATTTGGTGTAATATTTTTTTTCTTACTATTTTTCTTTTAATAAAAAGGAGTATAGTTACAAATATATAAAATATTACACCAAACTGACGACCAGGCCCATAACAACTATTAGTCCAAACTTAAAAAGAAACAAACAAACTATACACAACCCCAACAATGGTAGAGGAATAAGCACCATAAATATGAGACTTGCTAGAAATTAGGTTATTAAGGCCTTGATTTAGTTAATATTCTAGGATCTGTTTTTCTATGTAAATATGGATAGTAAAAGCTGTATGAAATCAGGAAAAGTAGGAAAGTAGAAGCTGTCAAATATTAGCTTTAGTTAGTTTCCTTTTTTGTTGTAACTGCCCTCTTTATAAGAGAGAATCATGTTCTTATTCTTTGTGTGTGAAAATATATTCCTTTCTCATATTTTCTGAGTTGGTATCAGAGCCAGAAAATACAGCAGCCCTAAAACCGTCGGAGCCATGTCGGAAGTCACGTCTGAAACCACTTCAACCCCTGCCATTCCAGTGAAAACGTCCGAGACCCTACAAAAACACTCCAACTCTCACTGTGTCCAAATCACCACCATCCGCCTAAATGGTGATAACTTTCTCCGCTGGTTGCAATCCGTCCGGATGTATATTTGTGGGCAAGGAAAGATCGGCTACATCACGGGTGACAAGAAGGCTCCTACTGTTAATGATCAACTGTTCGACATTTGGGACGCTGAAAACTCCATGGTTGGTCAATTCCATGGAGGAGGATATAAGCTCTAATTACATGTGCTATACTACTGCACAAGAGTTGTGGGCTAATGTTAGTCAGATGTATTCTGACCTAGGCAATCAATCTCAAGTTTTCGAATTGACTTTGAAGTTGGGAAAGATTCGTCAAGGAGATGATTCCGTCATCAAAATTTTCAATTCATTGAAAAGGTTGTGGGCAGGATCTTGATATCTTCAACATATACGAATGGACATCAGTTGACGACTGCAACCACCACAAGAAAATTGTGGAAGATAGACATATTTACAAGTTTCTTGCCAGCCTCAACATTGAGTTCGATGAAGTGCGAGGGAGAATTATTGGCAGACCTCCTCTCCTATCCATTGGCGAAGTCTTTGCCCAAGTTAGGAGGAAAGAGAGCTGAAGGAGCGTCATGCTTAAGAAAAAAGGTACCGGTGAGTCAATTGAAAGTTCTGCCTTATTTAATGATGCTACGGCCTACAAGATTGCAAATTACTAGCACAGGTTTGATGATAAGCCACGGGTCTAGTACGATTTTTGCAACAAGCCTCGCCATACACGCGAAACGTGTTGGAAGATCCATGGAAAACCTGCCAACTGGAAAAGCTGCAAACAAGGCGAGAAGAATCGCGGCTTTCCTACTGCCAATGAAACCGATTCAGTTCCGTTCAACAAAGAGCAGATTGATCAACTCTTAAAGCTAATAAAATCCAACTCCTCATCCGGTACTCCTTATGTTTCTTTGG